AAACCACACGTGACACACACACACTCCCTCAGCATACACACACCACACAGACACACACACATTCCCTCAGCACACACACACACCACATAGACACATACACTCCCTCAGCATACACACACCACACAGACACACACACTCCCTCAGTGTACACACACCACACAGACACACACACTCCCTCAGCACACACACACCACACCTGACACAAACACTCCTTCAGCACACACACACACCACACAGACACACACACTCCCTCAGAACACACACACACACACCACACAGACACACACACACTCCCTCAGCATACACACACACCACAAGGACACACACACATTCCCTCAGCACACACACACACCACATAGACACACACATTCCCTCAGCACACACACACACCACACAGACACACACACTCCCTCAGCATACACACACACCACAAGGACACACACACTCCCTCAGCATACACACACACCACACCTGACACACACACTCCCTCAGCATACACACACCACACCTGACACACACACTCCCTCAGCATACACACAAACCACACGTGACACACACACACTCCCTCAGCATACACACACCACACAGACACACACACATTCCCTCAGCACACACACACACCTCTCAATTCTGCGTCTCTCTCCCCTCCCTCCCTCTCCTCCCTCCCGTCCTCCCTCCCTCCGTCCCCTCTCTGTGTCTCGCCCCTCGCCTCTTTCCTCCCTTCCTTCTCCCTCCTTAAGTCCCTTGGATGTTCTCAGACTGTCCTCTGTCAGTAAGGGAGCTCGGGACTGTCTCATGGCAGATCAGAAACTTTGCCCAGGGCGGCGCTAGGGACACCGGCTGACGTTACAGGCGCCCACCTGTGTGCACAGGTGCCGACACTTCACCTTTACTGAGTCACTGGATCCTCCCATCGACCTCATTTTAACAGACAAGCAGTCTAGGCACCAAAAGGATTAACTGACTGGCCGGAGACGAGGCGGCAGTTCGGAGAGGAATGGAGTGAGAACGTTTGTATTTGAGAATACTTTGCAAAATGTGAAGCCCTATACAAACGTACATAAAGCACCGGAGCTTTCTTATCCGTGCATCTCCAGGGGATGGGAAGAACAGATTATCTCACTGCCTGAAGAAAGTATCTCACTGCATTAATATTTTACGGTATTAAAATAACAATATTGCAATATTGCAGGGCAGATGGAGGAACAGCGTTACGAAGGGCTTCACCCGCAACCCCGGGGCTCTTACTGCGTGGCACGGGTAACAGTTAGGTCATCCCAACCCACCACACGCCAGAGGACTGTTCGTTTTACCGCTGCCCCACAGGGGGGGAACCCGAGGCTGCACTCCTGCAACCCCCGACTCCTGCTCTAGCACGCCCTTGTGGAAAGTGACCTGGGCTGCTTTCCCTGCAGCCGTTCACGCCCGGCTCTGGGTCCCGCTGGTGGAGAAGCCCCGCCGGCACCACACGCACCACGCACCGCAGAGTCACGCAGCAAAGCCCTCAGCACACACACACACCACGCCCCGCAGGTCATACGATCACACCGCCCCTCAGCAACACACAGCGCCCCGCAGGTGGACGCGGCACGCCCTCAGCACACACCACCCCTCTGACACACACTGCTCCAACACTTGCGGTGCCACACGCACACCACTCCCTCAGCACACACACACACCACACGTGACACACACACTCCCTGAGCAACACAACACACCACAGGACACACACATCCCTCAGAACACACCACTCCGATACGTGGACACAGCACACTCCATTCGTGACCACACACACTCCCTCAGCACACACACGCCACACCTGACACACACACTCCCTCCAGCATGCACACAACACACGGATACACAACACTCCTCAGCATACACCACACCACAAGACACACACACATTCCCTCAGCCCACACACACCACATAAGACACACACACTCGCTCAGCCACACACAACCACACCTGAACACACACTCCCTCGCCACACACACACCACACCTGACACACCACTCCTCAGCACACACACACCACACCTGACCACACACTCCCTCAGCACATACACACACCACACAGCACACCACCCCTAGCACCACCAACCCATGATCTTGGCCTGCTTTGTTTATTGACGTATCCCAAATGCCTAGCACAGAGGTTGGCACAGAGCGAGTACTCGATATGTCTGCTGAATGAATCAAAGAGGAGCCGCAGGGGTTCCAAGGTTGCCCACAGCCCTGTTCTTTCCCACGTTCCCAGCCTGTCCTGCATTCTGGGTGGCCCTTTATGTGTCCCCTGGCTGCTGCAATTCCCGCCTGCAATTCTCACCTGGAATGAGTTTAACATACTCCAGGGTCAACCCACATCGCACTGGGCCCCTGAGTCCAGCCACGGTGCTGTCGTGCGTAGGAGGCACCGTGGCTTCCCGGCTGTGCCGAACCAACTCTTAGGGGACTGAGACAGTGGTGCCTTGAGCCCAGCATGTGGGGTGGGGCCCACTCTTCATTCCCGACCTGGCACGAGACACTCTAAGTACAGAACTTGAGAAAAACCCAGCAAAGAAGGGTAGAAGAGCAAGCTGAGGACACCACAGAATCTTGTCCGGGTTCTGCAGGTAGCAGCAGGGTCTCTAATAAATAAAACT